ATTGTAATCATCTGAAAATGGAGATGGATATAATTCTTATATTTTCCATCAACATTTCCATTAATTTTCCCTTAACCCTGGTTACCATTACTATTCGAAAAAACCAACAAATTTCAATAATCATAAATAACAAGAGAGCTATGCTCAAATATATGGACACGTAGCGCCACCCAATGGCAATATTTTGATGACGTCATAGCAAAGACACGTAGCGCCACCCAATGGCGATAATTTTGATGACGTCATAGCAAAAAAAAAGTAATAGCCTTCTGGAGAAAAATTTTATCTTTAACCACTGAAAATTTCAAAGCAACTGGTATTCACCAGTATTCACAGAGAAAAGCGATTTTTTAAAAATGATGGAGACAAATAATAACAATAACAACATAATATTGAAACGATCGTTATGTCCACTAAACGTGTCCAATAATATTTCGAATTGACACCAAGTTTATGTTGGAACCAAACAACATGAATTCACTCTAACTAAATTTCTGTAAATTCCCATCAATCTTAATATATATTAATAGATTACTACGTATAGATTAAGTTGCATGGCAGTTGGAGGTTGAGGTGAAAATGCATTGAAGTGAGAAAGTAATCGACCAGTCAGATGGTCAAGCAAAATTTGAAAGGTTGTTTATGTTTGAAAGAGATTTTTTTGGATCGAGGTAATGATAGTAAAAAGTAGTAGTTCTTCACCATACTAAAAAATAGATGAAGTAAAATGAAGTAAAATTGCATTTATGAAATTGAGCAGATATAGCCTACCAATACCGTTATCGAGCGGCGACACCCGTAAGCCAAACATTATTTAATACGGAATTAGAAGATAGCGCCCAGCGACCAGAAAAAGTGCGTGAGTAATCTGTAAGCTTTGAGCAAACTTTGCAAGCACGGAGTCCGAGATTTGAAACGGTTGTTGTTTGTGTGTCTAACAATGTAAGAAGCTTCGTAGAGATTTGTGTAATGGATGGAAGCAAGCATTACACCTAGGAAAAGTATTAATGTAGTATTGACACTTTCGGAAGCAAAAAACTTGAAGGTGAAATGCATAAAGTAATAAAGTGCTGGCTGTCAACTGTGACTGAACTTTGAAGGGCAGAATTCAATTTTGAAACATCCGTGTTTGTTTCTCATGTTTGAGTTTATTTGGGAGCCACCGATGGGGAGTCTAAGCTTTACTCTGTGTGTTATTTCCGAAAGTCAATAGACAAAATACGAGTCAATTGAGATAAATAGATAAAAGTTCTGGGGGCTTAGCGACAAAATTGTGGTTGCCTATAACTGTCTTGTTTAAATATGAAACAGGTGTGCCGCCAATAAAGTGATGAACTTAAATTTGATACGAAATATGAAAATCTCAAGGAACATGTGGTAAGATTGGATGTCTGACGAACATTTACTGTACGAGGACGATGTTATACTACTATTACACTACTGTTATAGTGCAGGAAGTACAGATATTGTCTAGGCACATAGTTCGGCAGAAGCTTTGTGTAGCAGCATAGTATCACCCCTTAGGAGGATAAGATTCGAAAACAAAATGATAGGCTCCACCTTGGCAAACAAGTTGGTGTTGAAGTTTCTTTGCCTATGAAAAACGATTGTTCGAATGACGGACGTAAAGGAAAGCATCTGCATTTCGAGATCGTCTTTTCGGGACAATCGAGATATCCATTGCTCAGAACACGAATATTCGCTTGTAATTACTCGGTGTGGTTGGAAAATGGTTTAGTGTTTACTCCTCAGAAATTGAGAAGGAATAGCCCAACCGAGTGAAATTGTTCGGATGCCAAATATGGAAGACAATAAGACTATAATTCTGAAGAAAATGACTGGAAAGTACCTGGCGTGGAGTTCGAAAACGGGCAGTCATTAGGAAATTTTGTTATACAACATAGATGGGAATGCACGCGAAAATCTACTGTACGAAGACGATGGACTAAAGCGTCTTTCATCTCTGCAAAATTATTTTTGATCAATTAATGGGATCAAGATAGGCAGGAAACATAGCGGTTTATATGTAGGCAGGTAGTCTAGCAAATCTGATTAGCGATAGCAGCAGCACATTAGCAATATCACATTGAAAACAATTGTTTTAGCTCGCACTCATGGCAGAGAAATATGCTGAAGCTCATTATTAAGATACGACTGAGTGACGTCATAGAATTTACACAGAGTCTAATGAAGCATTTGAAATTAAAGATAATCGGGAGATCCATTATGAAAAACACAAATATTTTTCACTCGCATGAATAATAACAGAGTTTTACCAGAGAATGTTTTTAGTGTTTTCATATCAATGCTTGAAAATAGTGACGGCCAGGACCGACAGATTGAAATGGTTGTATGGCAAGAAACTAGAAATGGAAAGTGTCAGGCGTAAAGCCAACGCGAAACGGACAGATTCATTGCTAAATTAAATGGTTGGGTTATTTTTTTTCAGAATCATATTTGAGGAGAAGAAACATTATATTTTCAATGATTCAATTGATGCAGACCCAAACGCAATTCATCAACATCTGCGAAAACTCGAAAGAGATCTTAGCATGTCACTTGAAATAAATCCTTTAGAGACGCTTCCACATCTGATGCAAGGAAAATTTTGAACATTCGGTTCAGCAGATTGATTTCAACAAATACTCCAAATGAGTCTACACGTTTAAAGGAACTGTGTGCAAATGGGAGCAAGTTTTTCGTCCCAGCAAGAATACAAAGACGAAGGGGTTTATGATCCCATAGGCACGGGTAATACGGTATCAAAGGATTTGTGATATTTTATTTCACTCGTGCAGTTTATTCCTCACGCTCGGTTCCTTCATTTGTGATCTAAACCGATGCCCAAATTTTTCTGTTTTGTCAAACATGAAGGTTTACTGCAGACTTCAGTGAAACGGCGTAATAAACTCATTCAAATTTGTGCTCAACTTTAAATAATACATGCAATGAATGCATAGATAGAAGCAAAGATATTTCCCAAAAATGACTAAACCGAACATTTACAACAAATGAAATTATGGCAGTGGTCAAACAAGAGAATGTAATATTGGGCCTTGGACAACAACACTCACAACAGAAACTTACCAAAGCTACCCGTACGCCCGTTTCATCAACCATTCTTTGAATCTTATTACTGAACAAATCAGACTAAACTATGTAAATTGGCTGCCTTGAGCCCTAACGTACCTAATTAAGCTCTGTGTGTTGTTGTAATTATTGTATCAGTACCGTCTTCAGTGCCTTGGTGCCTTATCTCTGTTCTAACATAATAATAATATTAATAACGTACTTTCTCGCTTTTCACAGATTGGAATATCTGGAAATTGGAACAATTGAATTATTGTAGAAGGATTGTAACGTCAATCCCGCTGCACGTACAATCGCAATAGCTTGGATGAGAAGCCATTTGGACGTTTTTCTATACCTGTACCTAACTATCCATACAAAATATAAAAATAGTTTTTGCACACGGTATACCAAACCTTATTATATGCAAGTATTAAATTATTGGTTGCATTTGTCCCTAACGTGTTCAAGCTCTGTGTATTGTTGTATTAGTACTATCTACAGTGCCCGCTTCCCAAGTATTCAAACTGGATATAAATATAAATCTGGCTAACGTATTTTCTCACTTTTCAGATTGTATTGTTGTCATCGAACATCATCGATTTTATTATTGTAAAAGGAGTAAAGTTGTGAAGAGTAAAGTCAAGCCCGCCTATGTACAGCATTTCCAATGACTAGTTGGGAAGCCCTCCAAATGACGATTTGGACAGTTCATTCCCTATACCAGGGATGGCGAACCTTTTTCAATGAATGGGTCAAAAATCATATTTTTATCGCGGAACAGAATAGGGTGGGTCACAGATATTTAATCAATGTTTGTATCTATAAGAAACATCTGAAACAAATAATAATACAACGGTTCTGTTAATGTTGGTGTAGTTTAATGCTTTACTTTACAGCACTTTAGCAGGAATTTTTTATGGCACTCGATTAAGGGTACGAAAACACACATATGAATTACGTTTAGGATGATGTGGCAAATTATTTTACGGTTCGCCACCCCTGCCCTATACCTAACTATCACTACAAAATATAAGAATTTTTCTGCATACTTTCAAAACTAATTTTGGGATCTAATTTTTAAATGGATAAACATCAGATTTGTTTACTATATTTACCGTCATTTATGGAATATGCCTTTGACATAAGTTTATGAAAATTGACTTCGAATTTAAAGTGGCATATTGTTACATTCAAGTCTTGAATACAATGCTTTGTGCCTATTGTTAATCCGAGTAATTTAAATGCCATTTCATTTTCCCAAGGTGTACCAGCAGAAAAGCCGAAGCTTTTTAAGCAAAGGCTCCACCGAAGAAAAATCTTACACAGCGTGCTGTCAGAGAAGTGATCGGGCAGAGTGCTGGCAAAAGCTGAGCGGAAATTATGCTTGTTATTCAGATCATAAATAAGCAAGTCTTTTTAAATTCTCTTATTTTGCATGTTGAAAATTGTATGGTAGTTATGAGATTTTGCATGTTAGGCCAATGAACCGAAATGAGACTTTGCATGTTAGGCCAATGAACCGAAATGAGACTTTGCATGTTAGGCCAATGAACCGATATTGAAGGATGGAATTTTATACAGAAAGCATGCCGAGTTGGGAAATCGTACATCCAGTGTCATCGAGTGATGAACAGAAATTCACTTTTACACTTTTCGTTATTTGCGTGTCTGATAGTTGCATGCTAGGTTCATTGCATGCCTAGTTTTCCCCAAATTGGGGGAACTAGGCGTGAGCTGCTGCCGAAGCACTCAAATGAGGGACAGAAGTAGACTTTTATGCTTTTTCTTTTTATTTGCGTGCCTAGTGATTGCAATGTAGGTAAAATGCTTTGCATGTTAGATTAGCAACCTGAAGGACGGGAGAGTAGGAAGACTAAAGAAGCCACTGAATACAATAAGTCGCGTTGGAGTTGAAGCAATAAATACTTGAAAATGCGGATGGCAGCCCTGGTCGAGTGTCGCTGATCGAAATGATCCGGCGAGTGTTTTCTATCCCGCTTTCTTCAGTTGCACAGATCCATAGATCCCGGAGTCTAAGGAAGGTTTGAGATTTTGAATAACTTTGAATGTTAAGATTATCGCATGTTACCTCCATATACAGCTGCATGTTAGATTAATGCGTCTGATTTAATTATATACTTTTTTACGGAAATATTGAACTCGCGTGTACCTTCTTTATTTTATATGATTTCATAGGACTTAATAATACATCTGTAGTATAATCAGCATTAATTTTGAGAATATACCGACAATTTTTTGCCTCTGCTAAATGTTATATTTAAACAATCTCGTTAATACTTTCAGATGACCGCGAGGCGTTCTTCAAACATGTTTGATTTGAACGAAAACTTATCATTATGAATCCAATAGGTAACTTTACTAGCAGCTGGACCATTGGAAAAGCTTGTTTGCCGATGCCTACGATACTTATGTTGAACGGAAATGCTCTACGTGGAGGAATCTTATTGATGACGAATGCGTGACTAAACTATGTGGAAGGTTGAAAAGACTCGTTGTCGTAAGAACTCATTTTTATTTATTGGTGAATTAACCAGAATTTAGCTTTGTGATTTCGAGCTGTTTTGTGGAATCATCGTTAAATGTTGAAACAATATACACAAACTTGCTGAGCATATAGAGAACAACTCTGCACAACGTAAGTTCACAGTTATCTTCAATTTTAGTTAACATCCGTGAGATCATACGGCTTTTATGGTTGCGTTCACTATTCTGTTTTTCTTGCCAATGTTTTCAATGTCGTGTTTTTTCTAGCCATTGTTATTTAGGTCTCATTGGCCATTGATCATATTTTCTCAGATTGGGTTGAAAATTCTGGTTTTCTTGAACCTTTTCTTTCAGATTTGTTGACCATTATGTTTTTTTCGACCTTAGACAATCGTCTTGTTGTTGTTGTCTTGTTTGTGGACCATTCTGTTTTTTTAACCCCTTTCCTCCAGGTTTGTTGACCATTATATTTTTTAACCCATTTCTTCCAGGTTTGTTCACCATTCTATTTTTTTAACCCTTTTCTTCCAGGTTTGTTCAGCATTATATTTTTTTAACCCTTTTCTTCCAGGTTTGTTGACCATTCTATTATTTTAACCCTTTTCTTCCAGGTTTGTTCACCATAATATTTTTTAACCTTTTTCTTCCAGGTTTGTTCACCATTCTATTTTTTTAACCCCTTTTCCCAGGTTTGTTGACTATTCTATTATTTTTACCATATTTTTCCAGGTTTTAACCTTTTCTTCCAGCTTTGTTGACCATTCTATTTTTTTAACCCTTTTCTTCCAGGTTTGTTCACCATAATATTTTTTAACCTTTTTCTTCCAGGTTTGTTCACCATTCTATTTTTTTAACCCCTTTTCCCAGGTTTGTTGACCATTCTATTATTTTTACCATATTCTTCCAGGTTTTAACCTTTTCTTCCAGCTTTGTTGACCATTTTATTTTTTAATCTGTTTCTTCCGGGTTTGTTGACCATTCCGCTTTTTCTGACCATTGTATTTCAGGTCGTGTTGGCCATTCTGGTTTTCTGACCATTGTTTTTTTAACCATTCTTTTCTTCGACCATTGTCTTTCAGGTTTGTTGACCATTCAGTCTTTCCGACCATTGTTTTTCAGTTTTTGTTGACCATTTTGTTTTTTCTGACCGTTGTCTTTCAGGTTAAGTTGACCATTCCTTCAGGTTTGTTGATCTTACTTTTTCTGGCCATATTATTTCAGGTTTGTGGGCCATTCTGTCTTCTTTGCACCCATTGTCTCTGAGTGTTGTTGACCATTCTAATTTTCTGGCCATTGTTTTTCAGGTTGAGTTTACCATCCTGCTTTCCCAACAGTTGTCTTTCATGTTCACCATTCTGTTTTTAATCCAATTTTTTTTCAGGTTTTTACCAAACATTTTCTTCAACAATAATTTTCCCAAATACAGGCATTGTTTTTCAGGTTGAGTTTACCATCCTGCTTTCCTAACAGTTGTCTTTCATGTTCACCATTCTGTTTTTAATCCAGTTTTTTTTTTCAGGTTTTTACCAAACATTCATTTCCATATGAAAGAATATTTTAAACCTATTTTAATCTAGATAAAAGCCAAGAATACTTTTTTTTTGTGCTGACACTTAGATAACTGGACGCATTATGGATTATGAAACGGTGATAATGTTGATGCCCAATGAAATATTTGCAAAATAGCAATAAGACAAGATGATTACTTATGGGCAGCTGAGAGAAAACTTGGATGCCTAGGATTTTAAAGGGGTTTCGTTCTGAGAAAAGAGTTTCCGCAGAAGGGTGATCAACTCGGTAATATGAAGAAGTATGATAATTTAGTTTTATTTTGTTTAAGAATTTTAAACTCGAAGTCGCCAAAATCTTTGTCAAATTGATATTAGCTGCAATTAGATTGTAACCAATAACCAACAATTTGAGAAATTTTTAAGGACTTCATGACTGGGTGGTTTAAATTCCTTGATTCAAAACTATATTATGCTCTGTTTTTCAGGCGGATAATTTGGTCGAGTGACATCCATCATCATTATAGGAATGTACAGTTGAAATAAACGTTATTCATAAAGTGGTACACTTCTCTACGGACACACGTTAGTAAGTGAAAATTTGCTGGTTAAACTTGGCAGGCCTGGTGAACTACAGTACCACAAGTACTTTTCAGGGCGCTCCAGAAGTGTAGGTATCAATATGGAGGTAAATAATATTGTTCGCCTACTTTACATCAAGTTGTATGAAGGGACTGAAACCATATGGACAGGGGGTATTCATTTGACTAACACGAACAGTCCCCGAACCCCTAATAGAACTAAAATAATCGCATATCAACCGGAAAGCTGAAGGAAAATCTGAATAAAATATGGCCTAGACCCAATTCGTATTTGCCCTGGTACATATACTACGGGAGTTCCCTTATTAGTGAACGAGGCCCAACAATATTTGCATACGTTTTTTTCCTGCTGCAACTGACTACGTCAGCGGTTCCCAAACTTGTGCGGCGCAAAATTAGCTGGGAAAAATTTACGGCGTAGTCACACGAAATTAAGTTGCTGCTTTTTAAATGTATTTATTCGTAACGACGACGTTTTTAGTAATATCGGGGTCGGAACCAACCAGAAAGTCTGATTTCGTGATCGAATGTGTACTTTAGGTTCGGAAACATGTGTTACGTCATTCAAATTGATGTCACAAAATAGTTGGTCCACCTATAAGGAGTTTTTCGGTATTGCTCTACTCCAGACAACCTATCGTCGTTATACCTTTGCGATCTTTATTAGGTCACTGGCTGCGTAATTTCTAGATTTTGTAGTCCAGTGAGGGTATTAAATTGACACGTCATAAAATTGATGCACTACAGAAGTGCTCATACTATACAAAGTATTATACAAAGCCAGACTCGAGGTTAGCAAAACGTTTGTTTAACTTAAAACCACCTTCAAATTTTTACAGAGTATGGAAGAACTACACAGTCGATGTGTACTGAATCGAGCATCATAAGAACGTACGATCCAAGTGTTATAAACTGATAGAATTACACCACGACGGCTTCTACCTACCGTTAACAAAGTAATTATCTATGTGTGATATATGTCTAAATTGTAACACGTGGCTATGCTTATTTTTATTATCGCGCTCCAGAGCACAAGGTCCATATGAAATATACAGGGTGCAAAAATTTTTAAAATTGCAAAGGGAATTTATCAATATCATATATATATTGTTTTGTTCATCACAGATGTATTAAATGAAGTTAAAATGCTTAAACAATTAAAACAACAAACCTGGTTAAAATATATTGAGCACTGACTCCATAACAAAGTTGAAACTGTAAAGAAAAGAGGATGCATAATGATGCATAATAGTTTTGGCAATTTTTACATAATTTGGATACCGTCTATTACAGGGTGGTCCAAACCCAGGCCCGGGGGACACATGTGGCCCGTCGCTCCATTATCTATGGCCCGCGCCGCATTCGGAGAGTAATCAAAATATCGTATTTTAAATTGCTTCTCATAAAATAAATCAGAAAAATCGTTTGACACATTGATTTTATATCACCACTGTGACCGAATTGACTAGTACACTGGTTCTCAACCAGTGGGCCATGGCCCACTGGTGAGCCATGGAGACATTTTGAGGTGGGCCACAGACCAATTATAAATCGCAAGGGTTGTTGATTGAAATAATTGATTCGTTTACAAAATCAGCTTCACACGTTTTGTAAAAAACAAGATATCTATTTGCAAAACATGCTTCGCCGTTAAAACGCATTGGGACTCAACAAACACATTCTACGGCATGATGACTGTAGAAGGGGAATAGCAATTTCAATAGTAGCGTATATCGAAACATGGGCATCTTCTCCTGAAAACTATGAAGTAAAAGGACAGTGTGTTTTATGCTATAAAGTTCTTGAACATCATTCATCGAGACCATCAAAATTCAAACTTTATCTGAAAGCAGGGTTTTCCATATCGATGCAAATCAAAACAAAGCCTCGGAACCCACCAAAAATTAATGTATTAATTGATAATGTTCAGCAGCAGATAACCCACTAATAGTCAGTTGAATAAAAATCCATTCGGAAAACTCTTTTCTATAATGAAAAACTTAGTGGGCCACAGAACTTTCGCGCAACAAAAAGTGGGCCACGAACGAAAAAAGATTGAGAACCACTGGACTAGTATGATGGCCAGCTGAAACAACTAGCAAAGTTGAAGATGCGATGGTCAGTCTGAATTGTTACCTGGATTTCTATCGTTTTGGTCGGGAATATATGCCAACAATATAGGCATGATGGAAAACTAAACATCGGATGCGGATTCCATTAGCCTATGTTGGCAATGCCTGATAACTATGTGTTTACAGAGTATGAGTGCTTGTCTTGTATTGCAATGTTTATCTATTCTTGGTACTATTGTGGCCCGCGACCAATGCTAAAATAATTTTGTGGCCCGCGGAGCCCACAACCTTGGACCACCCTGGGGTATTAGTTGGCTAGCATAATGAATTTGAGAATATCGGAATAATAACATAGTTTTGTCACAATGGACATAAATTTTCATACATGTACATGTTTGCACAACTCTAAATCTTCCGACTAAACATACCCGTAATTAAATTATCCGGATGGCTATTTAAATATATTTCACGATCTCTAATATATTGTTAGTGGCGTAATTTCTAGATTGTTGTCTAGTGGGGTTTAAAATGACGCATGATAAAATTGTTGCACCACAGAAGTACTCTATATACTGAGCCAGAACAGAGTTGGCAAAACGTTCGTTTAAAATTACATGTTTTATTTTCAGTGAATATGGTAGAACTACACAGTCGATCTGTACTGGATCGAGTATCATGAGAGTGTACGATCCAAGTGTTATAAACTGATAGATTTACACCAAGACGGCTGCTACCTACCGTTATTCAAGACTGAGGAAGGTAACAAAGCAATAATCTAAGTGTGGTATTTGTCTAAATTGTAACACGTGGTTATTTTTATTTCGGTACTGCCGTAGTGTGTGTACCAGGTCAGGGTTAGGCCATAATTTTATTCCTATTTTCTTCATTTTGTTCTATTACGAGTTCGCGGACTGTCTGTGTTAGCCAAGTGAATATACCCCCTGCCAATAGTTAGCGCCCCTATTTCTATTATCACCCCAGAGCGCAAGGTCAATATCGAAAGTATAACTATATTCAGTGATACTTTAATTATATTAAGATAACTTTCTAGAATCTAGATTATGTAATGTAGTCCAGTGGGTGATAAAATGACGCAATCATGAAGCATTATGAAATTATTGCACGACAGAAGTACTCTTAACTATGCGAAGCCAAAATCGAGGTTAGCAAAACGTTCTTAAAACTACATGTTTTAATTTTCAGAGAGTATGGAAGAAGTACACAGTCAGTGTGTACTGAATTAAGCATCATAAGAGCGTAAGGTCAAATTTTCTATGCAGTCATAGATTATACACCAAGACGACTGCTACCTGCCGGTAATTTAAGACTGAGGAAGGTAACAAAGTAATTATCTATTTGAGATATTTGTCTAAATTGTAACAGGTGGATATACTTATTTTTATTATCGCTCCAGAGCACAAGGTCTATTGAAATATACAGGGTGTCCATAAAGTCTTAAAGAATCTTTTGAATTGCAAAGGAAATTTATAGATAGCATATATTGTTTTGGCCATCACAGATGTGTTATATTGTTGAAAAAACGACAAACCTGGTTAAGATATATTGAGAACGGACTTCATAACAAAATTGAAACTGTAAAAGGACTTTATGGACACCCTGTAAACTGTAAAGTATATACAGTAAGCAGCAAACACAATTACAAACTAAAAATATAAGTTTAAATCGAAAATAAGATTCATAATAGTTTTGTCAATTTCTACATAAATTGAATACAATGTATTAGATTATCCTGATGCCAATTTAAATATATATTATTTATTTTCAGATTCTCTCAAAGGCATCGTGTGTTGCTCTCCCATGATGCAACTCAGATGCCCCAATATCAGCCGAGATTTGGATAATTTTATAATCGGTGTCACATCTGACTACTATTACTCAGTCTTCAAAACTCGAGAGGTGTGCCAACTTGACAGTCGAGCTGTATGCGTGTCGCGCTTGATCGATTGATGTTCAGCAGTGTTTCCCTTGACCGATCAACGGTGTTCCCCTTGACGGAGCAGCAGTGTTCCCGTTGCCGGAGCAGCAATGATCCCGTTGACGGAGCAACGGTGTCACCGCTGACGAAGCTACAGTGTTCCCTTTGGACGACCAAGTTGTTTTGAGTTGTACACTCGTATAACGCCACGTGAAAAAAGATCATGCATTTGCATATCAGTGTAACAAACCGACTGGACAATGTCGAACCGGGCTGATCCCGGCCCTTTTAAACGGTACTGCGTCAATTTGTACAAGCTACCAGGAATTTCGTGCAATATTTTATCATGTTCAATAGGGGTGACCCGGCTCGATAACCAAATTTGGTTTTCTCGCGACAACCCTCACTCTGAAATGCTTTTTAATTATTACAATTTGTATATCAAGTGTGCTTTCAGTATGGTGAGAAAATATCCCGATTATTATTCAGACCGTTTCATCACGAACGCTCATGAAGCGTGTTACTGGATGGCGTGTTTATCGTTAATTTTTATTTTCCTTTTTCCCAAATACCCTAGCGGCTGGGATTCTAGTGTCAACCCCAAAGTATCTGATTCAGGGAAAAATTTAAATTATGCCACAGCCATTGTGTTCCTCCCAGCTACTAAGTAAAATGTGTTTTGCCTTTTTTGTTTTATAAATTTCTGCATTTCTTACATATATGAAATTGCTGTAGGGTTGAGGTGGGCTCTTTGCGCTGAACTGAACTGAACTGAATGTTGCTGAACTGAACTGAACTGAATGTTGCTGGTACTAAGTAAAATGTGTTTTGCCTTTTTTGTTTTATAAATTTCTGCATTTCTTACATATATGAAATTGCTGTAGGGTTGAGGTGGGCTCTTTGCGCTGAACTGAACTGAACTGAATGTTGCTGAACTGAACTGAACTGAATGTTGCTGAACTGAACTGAACTGAATGTTGCTGAACTGAACTGAATGTTGCTGGCTGAACTGAACTGAATGTTGCTGAACTGAACTGAATGTTGCTGAACTGAACTGAATGTTGCCAAATTAAGCTAAGTCCAGCTCTGCGTATGGTTTACAGCATTTTCCTATTCTTATCAGTCAACAAATAAATGTTTTTTTGGCTTTAATGTTAGTAATAAACATAGGCAAATTGTGTATATCTTTTGGTATCTGGCAGCCTTACATCGAACAGGCCCGGCCCTAACCAATGCGAGACAGATCAGAACTCCTTAGCACAGGGATCGGCAAGTGGAGTGAAATAATCAGGCCCGCGACGCTTCACAGATTTATAGTAACAAAACTACCGTTTTGACGATCACATTCTTTACGTAACAGAATTCATTGTGAGATACGTGTAGACTAAATTATATTACAACCTACCAAGTATTTAATTCACCATTATTCGTTTAATGAGCCTATAATTTATTTATATTTAGACAATTGGCAACAAAACGCAGACTAGTCGATGCTTAGTGCAAAGGGTTTAATGACGCCGAAAATATTCAAATTGAATTTTTTGAGTTGCAAAGCAATGAGGAAACAAATTTATATTCTATTCGGGAGATGTATCACTGCTTGATTTTTATGAAAATTATCTTCTTGAAGGAAATCTCTATTCAAATTTGACAAACCATGCGAATAAATTTACGCATGCGAAGAATTATTTTCGGAAATGAACATTGCAAAGAACAAACTGAGAACTCGGGATTAGTATTTCCCATCATTTAAAAATGGTTTAATCTTAGCTTTCACCAGTGTCCCATTTAGAAAATGTTTCTCATTTAGTGATGTCGAAAGCGTATCAAGCGTGATGCAACAAAGACGGTCAAATTAAATGTCAAGTCATTCGTAAATTTTTTCTTTAAGTAAGACGACTAAGTTGAGTATACGAGTTGTTGCAGTTTTTGCGCGCTGCTTAAAATTTCAACTTCTGATCTATGTGAAGAAATTGTGATTCATCGGCCATCCGTTCGGTTGGTTTTAACTTTCTAAAATATGTGCGGCCCGCCTCGACTCGATCATTTATTTGGCGCGAAGTGGTCTTGTTTGTAGTTTTGCTAAATTAATTTGTTAGCATCGCTGATTACATATGTTCTATCGAAGCTCATGTCCCCTTCCTCTTTTAAGGGGAAATTAAGGGAGTGGTAAATATTTTGCTATTAGCGATAAAACTTTTTGTAACTTATAAAAATGTGCCATGTATTTCATAGGACATCTACACTGATAAATATGCCATATTTTATATATTTAAATACAACTATACCCCCCTCGGTTAGAAATTACAGTGTGGTATCACACCAAAAAAATTAGGAGGTGCTTTTCTCACCCAAGGTGTGATAAATTAGAGATAGGCGATGCCGTTCAAATGAGGGTAGCCCCATACATATCGTCATGTCCTAGTGACTTCTTTTTAAAAGGCCGTGTTTAAAGAGAAATGCGGCAAAGCTTCGTTTAAAATATATGCGGTATATCGTTTACTATTATTGAAATGGCATTTCTTCAAACTTCTGGCAATAATCAAAGTACTGCATTCTAAATACATAAACAAAGACGGAAGGTGGTACAGGCATTAGTTTATGATTACGTAGGCCTAGCTAATTTCCTGTTTTTCTCTTTGATGCGAAGCTGCGGTGTTTTCACAGAAGAGAATGCTGCGTGATTACAAAAGCCGAGATACTTTAAACCTTATTATTCAAATTTTCATACCAAACGATGCAATAGGTTTACATACATGTAAATATTGAACATATGGCGCTTAAGAAGTATATGTACCAATATGGTGAACTTCATTCATTTTGTATTGGTATTTCGTCATGGGCTTCGTTAAGTACTGATAGTGGAAAGATATATTGCTCAATTAAAACGAGATATAGTTGGTACTTATTGTTGCTAGGCTGTTTGTCAAATGCTAACCTAAAATATCTGACGATTCGGAAGTGTGTGTACCAATATGAAGGTAACTTCGCTATATGATGTACTTATTTATTTTTATTTTTTTCAATTTTCATTTGATTTCAACATTTTGCTGTTCACCAAACTTTTCAGCAAACTCGTTGCTTATTTAAGGTCTTTACGGAACAGTAACAATACGAGAACTTCGTGTCCATATAATTGAGCATTGCACTCTTGTTTTTTCCTAGTGTCTGTAATTGAAATGACAATATGTTTTGCAGAGGAATTGCCACTACCGGCTCATCCTCCAGTAATAACACTTCATTTCATTCAATTTTCAACGGAACAGTAACAATACGCGACCTTCGTTTCCACATAATTGAGCATTGCAATATTCTGCTTAGTAGTGTCGGGTGCAATTGAAATTAAAAAGAATATTTCTTGCAGAGCAAATGCCTGCAATTGAGCATTGCTCTCTTCAGTCTCTTGCTTTTTTAGTGTCAGCTGGAATATAACATACGCGTCGTGTCCATATAATTGAGAATTTAAATATCGTGTTTTGTAGTGTCGGGTGGAATTGAAATGACGATATTTTTCGCATAGAAAATGCCTCTACCGGTTCATCGACCAATAATAACAGTTCATTTGTGAGCATTGCACTCTCGTTTTTTGTAGTGTCTGGTGTAACGGAAAGAACGATATTTTTCGCAGAGCAAATGCCGCTAACGGTTCATCAACCAATAATAACAATTCATTTCCCTGCCCACCTGTATCAGTTTCACACCAGAAATTGCGAAGCAGTTTCGATAAAATGAATAAACAAAACTTGCAATACGTGTTCCTACGCAGCGAAAATGCGCGCCGCGTGATTTAAATTTTATTTGACATTTGCACATCTGATACGAAACCAAAGTGTTTGTAAACCTTAAAAATTTTAAAAATAAAATAAAATAAAGAAAAATCATCAATAATCTGTCACTGAGTAACATTAGCGATCTTTCTTGTACACTTAATCAGATACTTATGTGTAATTCACTATATCATGGCTCTTTCCTGGGCGCTACAGAAGTATGTGTACCAATATGGAGGTAACTTATTTGTTCGCCTACTTTAAAAAATCAAGTTGTGTAAAGGGACGAATTCGTAATAAAATTTAAATAGGGAAAATCGAATTCGCAAAACTGGAATTCACTTTCTGGCTGGCGAAAAAATAAATCTCTCTCTCTCCACTCCCTAATTCGTCACCATAATTTTATATTGTTTCCGTTGCTTTTGAAACGGCGCTCCCGTAGTATTCGTACCAAAATGGCGCACAACCTGCTAACTCTGACCTGGTACACATACTATGTTCAGGTTGTGCGCCATCTTGGTACAAATACTACAAGATCACCATTGAAACAATAATCGCTTGTAACTTTGTTTATGGATGAATTTCTTTACTCCTTAGTGCCACGTTTCTCAAACGGGGCGGAATTCAAGGCAGGGGTTTGGCCGTTCTTGATGGGGAATTTTGCTTGGTATTTGCTGTAGTATCACTGATTTTCCTATGTCTTTATTATATATATATTCACAAATAAGAAAATACTCAAACTGTACAAGTACGATAGTGCAATTTGCACATAACAGTAGCTGAGGATCTAATGATAAAGGAATTTTTAGGAGGAATAAGAAATTTCAAAATTAGAGAAAGATGGAATTTTACAAAAAAGGATGGAAGCCACTGCCGCCGTGAGTCTGCTCGACCATATTCCTTTTAAATTCCATATATAGGGTGTCCATGAAGTCTTAAAAAATTTGAAAATTGCAAGGGAAATTTATCGATACCATAATATATATGATATTGTTTGGCCCTCACAGATGTATTAAATGAGGTAAAAATACTAAAACAAATTCTGATTAAAAAACAACAAACCTGGTTAAAATATATTGACAACTGACTTCATAACAAAAATGAAATTATAATTGTATGAACACCCTGTATATATGCATTATATAGTCACAATTGCAGCTGCGGCGGATAATACTGCAAAAATGATTGACAGGTTATTTGCAAAATTTTCACAGGATCTGAGTTATGTTTTGTCACAACCACCCACATGTCAGTGTATAGCACAGATATGTTTTTCTTTTCTCTCCCACCACCATTGCGACATCGTGATGCTCTTATATTATTACAGTTTTATTACAAATTTTCATGCAATACAACGGAAGCGGAAATAATAGACGGCCTATGAAAAGGCCAGTTTTGTTTGATGAAATCATAACTAAGATACCGCGTCGTCGTGCTCGCTGCCGAATAGACTCGGGGAAACGTCCCTCGTACTGCAACCGAACCGACACCAGAGTTTACTTTCAACGTTTGGTTACAAAAATAAATACTCCGGCTCTTGATCCTGGTTTTAAGAAATCGACTCCGTCACCTTCGACTCCCGCGTAACAAAAATTTCAATACAATATATCTGGCAATTTTATTTTAGTTTCAATTGGAAAAATCAAAATTTACGGCTACGCGATTTTTGAAAAAACGGTTCCAATACTCATGATTCCATGTTTGCTTCACAGTCTAGCACAGCGGTTCGTAAACTTTTTGTTCGTGCGGTGCCACCGGCAACGGGTCTGCAATTTAATTCCAATGTAAAGTAATTTATGATTTGATAGCTTACAAAAGATTTTATAGATTTGGTTTAAATACCATACTTTTGTTTTAGTATATTTACTTACTCATTGTTAAGCTGTTGTAAACTACGAAATCACTCAAAATGAAGATATTCTTGATTGCATGCTTGTGCTTCATGTTCGTCGCGAGAGGTTCGTATTTTAGCGGTTTTTTAAACTTGTTTTCTTGGCTTTAAATAAAAAATTATGGTACTCCCGTAGTGTGTGTACCAGGTTAGGAATAGGCCATAGTTTTATTAGGCTTTTACGTATTTTAGTTCTATTACGAGTCCGAAGTGAATATCGAAGTGAATTTTTTGTAATCTAAAAACCACTCGTTGAATTATTGTTATTTATTTTATCACTTATAATTCAGGTTACGCGATTCAATGCTACACTTGTATTAACTGTCGCGATACCAAAAATCTAGTTGCTTCTCAACTCGTGAACTGCTCTAGCTCATTCATGACGTGTCAAAAGACTTCCATAAACGGTGAGTGCTTTATACACCATACACATTGCTTTAGAACGTTACTGCATAGATCAGTGGTTTTCAACAATTTCATATTCAAATGCTGGACATTTTCGAATACCTGGTGATTACAGAATCGAATTGAATAATATTTTCGAATCGATACTCGAATATATCGAGTGTTCTATTGCAATGGATCCTTCAGACACATAATTTAGTGACGTATTCGATTACTCAGACAGTTCGCCGAGTGTCCACACACATTGATAAACATGTTTCATTAATAAATCTCTTGGAAAAAAGAGTCACATTATTTTGCATTTTGAAAATATGACTTGAGTCACTTCGATCTTTTTCGAACAAAAAAACAAGATGGCGAAATTTCTATTTAAACCGATTCGAATAATGTATTGTTCGATCGATTCGAAATGCCCATCCCCAGTTTAATTTGAATAAAATTTTTAGACGTTGTTACACGAACTTGTGGAGTCTCAACTACTACCGGATGCAATAAAGTCACTCTTGCTACTATAACCACGGAAACTTGCAGCTGCAAAGGGGGTGAGTCATTGTATCATTTTTTATACTTTTATACGCATTTCTCTCCACACAAGGCTCGGTACTCCCGTAGTATGTGTATCAGGTTAGGGTTAGGCCATAATTTTATTCCGATTTTCCCTATTTTAGTTCTATTACGAGTTCGGGACTGTCTGTGTTAGCCAAGTATATACCCCCTGCCGATAGGTTTCAGTCCTTTTAAACCAGGGGTCGGCAACCTTTTGTCGCTCGCGGGCCAAATTTAAGGGTTGCAAGTCATTGGCGGGCGCACATATTTTTAGAAAGTAGAAAACCGAACGGATGATACTTTTTATAATAAAAATCAATCAGTGATCCATCTCTCGAATAGAATATAGATTTATTTCCTCATTGCAATGCCTCTCAAAAAATTCCATCTGAATATTTTTGGCGCCATTGAACCCTTTGCACTTAGCATCAACTTTTCTTCGTTTTGGTGCCATTTGTTAAATTATAATCAAATTATAGGCTCATTAAACGAGTAATTGTGAATTTTATACTTGTTAGATTATAATACTATTTAGTCTACACTTGTCTCACACTAAATTCTGTTACGGAAAGAATCAAAACAAATATTTTGTAGGTATAATTCAGTGAAGCGTCGCGGGCCGGATTATATTACTTCGCGGGCCCTGGCTGTAGGTTGCCGACCCCTGCTTTCCACAATTAGTTACTTCCATATTGGTACACACACTTCTGGAGCGATGTATAATGCGGTTCAACTCTCTTTATTCAAACAAACGAAAATAAGTCGATATTTTAAAAACAAAAGTGTCATCACGTTTGTTAATTTTTTTCAAATTTATTCAGATAAATGCAACGGAGCTGGAACCGTGAAATCGAGCATCATAATTGGATCCGTTATCAGCCTCCTTGTTGCTAAATTTCTTCTTTAGACAAGAAATAACAAAATTAAATTTAAGTCGATTAAAGTATTGCATATGAATTACATTATAGAATATATAACAAACTTTTTACTTTTTTTTTCGAACAAAGATTAAGATACCCACTCATGCTGCATATTCAAACGATTCTACTTTTCGCAAGAATCCTTGATCTTAGTTGGCATATAGTCTACTCCAGGGATGGACAAATTATGGCCCGCGGGCTCCCCAAGTATTTTGTGCGGTTCCCTGCTCGACAAAAGTTGTAAAAATTTCTTCCACTTACATAAAAATTTAGTTATCTTTTATTGATTTAAATTATCTAAACTATGAATTTTAAAATGATATTCATGTTTTTTCGTCATCGGTTTAGCAATATCAGTCACCATTAAATTTGACACTGTCATAGCGAATGGGAATAGTGATGTGACGTCATAGTCAATTTTTCAAAAAAAAATTTAAAAACTCGAAATTCGTTGTAACGCTAAGTTATAATAAACACTATGTGACGAGCACCATTTAGTGGAGCTTTGGCAACAAAACTGAAGACGTTTGTCACTCGCTGTTGTTGAGTTATTGTATTATCAAGCTTGGTTATACATGAATTATAGATTAATTGAACGTATACTTGTCTTTTACAAACTCCAATACAGGAAGCGTTGCGTCTCATGTTCGCCATTTTATTTTAAAAGAAAAGTATTGCAATGAGTCCGGATATTGCACCGGATATGTTTTTGATATCCCGATTGTTCCTAAGTGTTTCTTTGTGAAACTAGAAATTTAACTTTGCGTCCGGATATTTGGAGTATCCGGTTTCATTATTTAAATTGTTTGTTTCATTTTTTCTCATTTTGTGTAAACAATATATTGAGCAAAAATGCACTATTTATGACGTCATATTCTACGACTGATTGATTTTATTACATTTTTGAATAAATTGTTTTCAATATTCAAAGTGTTATGGTTTGAAATTTGGGAAACAGGAAATAATAAATTGGTAATTTGCTTATGAGATTGTATTCATATATTGCCATTGCCGTTACTCCCGTAGTATGTGTAGCAGGTTGAGGTTAGGTTATGATTTTATTCCGATTTTCCTTATTTTTGTTCTATCACGAGTTAGGGTCTGTGTTAGCCAAGTGAATATACCCCTTTCCCATAGGTTTCAGTCCCTTTACACAACTTGATGTAAAGTAGGCGAACAAAACTAGTTATCTCCATATTGGTACACACACTTCTGAGCCTCCATTGCCAGCTTAAAAAAATGCTTCTAGCTTTACAATACAAAGCAATAACTTTTTTTTTTTTGAGTCGCAAGTATTTAAACTTCTAGAATGTATTGCACTGTTTATCTATTCTTGGAACTATTGTGGCCCGCGCTAGGGTTAAGTCATCATTTTATTCCAATTTGTCCTATTTTATTTTTATTACAATTTCGGGGACTAGCCAAGTGACTCCCGTAGTATTTGTACCTGAAATTATTGCCTAACCCTAACCTGGAACACGTACTACGTTCCGGTGTCCGCCATTTTGGTACGCATACTTCAAGAGCGCCAAATCTTGTTATTGTCGCTAAGAGGTAAAAGACAAAAAAATTTGGGTTCAATGGTATTTGTTTTTTCACTTTGAAGTTTTGTGGGATGTGGTGACGTCATCAAAATTAAATTAATCGCGTGACGGTTGCGCAATCGCTATCAGTGATCTGGTGGTCAGTCGAAGTCGGAAAGATTACGATATCGTTACTGTGAAAGTTTGATGCCCGGTACTACTTTTTTATCCTTCGTGTCCGTATATTTGAGCATTGCTCTCAAAATTGGTTTTGCTCAGGTTAATCGGAACTAGAAAAGGGGTGCTCCAGAAGTATGCGCACCAAGATGTCTCACAACCTGCATCCTAACCGGTACACACATACTATGTTCAGGTTGTGCGCCATCTTGGTGCGCATACTTCTGGAGGTCCAAAAAGGAGCCTCTTGCTTTATGAATTGCATTTAAATTTCATTTTTGCATACATAATAAATTAAAAGCAATAAAATTTGCATAATCTTATTTGCATAATCTTCAACGAATACTAGATGAGGAATAGTTTGTTGGCAACAAACTCTTAAATTTTATTTCGAGTGCTCAGCAACTATCTTTGGAAAATCTACAGTGTAGAGTTTAACTTTGTCTGCGTGTAGGTTCTGGTCAGCTTTCGGTTCATCATCTAACACTAGGTGACGTTTGGAAACAGGATCAAATACAGGCCATTCAACGGAAACATCAGATCCCTTGTTTGGATTTCTAGAAAATAAAATAAATTTTATCAGTCAATAAGAAGTTGGTATAAATGATAAACATCAGGTCACTTTATTGATTTATTTTCTGGTACTCTCTTAGTATGTGTACCAGGTTAGATTATAATTTTTTTCCGATTTTTCTTATTTTAGTTCTATTACGAGTTCGGGGACAGTCTGTGTTAGCCAAGTGAATATAACCCCTGCTCATAGGTTTCAGTCCCTTTACACAACTTGATGTAAAATAGGCGAACGAAATTAGTTACCTCTATATTGGTACATAAACGTCTGGAGCGCCTCTTATCCTACAGCAATCAATCTTCACTTGGCTCTCACCCAGTACGCTACCCAGCTTTTCATTTTATGGGGTGTTTCTAATTTGGGAGGAAGAGGGAGGTAGATTTTTTTATTAGCGATAATATTGCCAACAAAATGTGTTGTGTATTTGATTGACCATTTGCTGAATATTTGAATTTGCAAGCAAATTATCCAAATGTATCTTGGCACTAAAAAGGCCGAGACCACTGTATTAGACAACTCTTTAAGAACCCTTTAAAAGTTGTGCTTTGTTTGCTACTCACCCTGTTTTTGCAAAATTTGTAAAATATTTCATCGCCAAGCGGCTGAATTCAGCATCTTTTTCTGTAAACCAGGCACCACCTGGGAGTTCGCCTTTTACGAACGGGACACCCCATATATAATAAGGAATGTCACCGTGATCGCATTTAACAAAATCCAACTTGTTTTTGATTCCTGGTCCGTTCGATTCCGAATGGTTGAATTCAATTGGTTTTGTGATGTAGTAAAAGTAAGTTGGACACTGCATAGCTAAAATGAAATTTATTTTAAGAATAAAACATTCCCCATTCATAAATTATTATTCCTGCGAAGGAAAAGGTGTTTTTCAACGCTCAATAATTCTCCCTATAATTTACAACTGTGGTAAAAGTTTGCTTAACAAAATAATAATAAAAACGAGAATATTGGTCAGAGACCGAAGACTTATCGATCGAAAGTTAGGGAATCCCCTAAAACAGCGCTCTTACTCCATAGTGGCACCTTGTGTCCCATCACTAATTAATTAATAACTCGCTAATTATACGACATAATTCATCCAAAATATATGATGAATGCACATGCAAAATCTGGAGCAGATTCAATCTCGCTTTCGTGAGATATCGCGTGCATCTAACAGACAGACAGACATACAGACAAATACCTATCAACATACTTACCGATTAAAATCGATAAGTAATGATGCTTATTTTCAGAGTGTTCTTGGGAGTTGGAGTTGACAAACTGGCTTACATGTTCACAACCACCATTTTGATTCAAACTATTAAACTACTTTGAGCCTAGTCAATCGCAAGCTTTTTTGGAACCAATTTTTAAATTTTAGCAACTATATCAAACAACCATCCCAGTTAGTTGCAATTTGCAATAGAGTTCTCAATCCAGCGATACTCTAATTTTGAATTTTATTTTGACCTAGGAATAAATGTTGAAAATTCAAACACCACATTTTAACATGTTTATCAGGCCATTGTCCGCCTGCAATTTTGATTTAAAAAAGTTATCACAGACACAGAAAAAACAGAACAATGAGCCATATTTCTATTGAAAGCAGTTGTTTTCAAACTTTTATTGTCGCGCCTCCTTGTTAAAATTAGTCAAGTCTCGCGCCCCACCTCTAAAATAACTAGCTAACAATAAGCTACAAATAACAGATAGTAAGGCCAAAGTATGTTTTATTCAAAAAAGTTTGAAAATACGTGGATGGAATCGCAATCTCTAAACAATGAAGAAATGTGAATACCCAAAATAGGCTGACAGGATCAATTTTGACAAATATTTTTACTTTCAATTTGCTTAATTCACCTCCTTGTGGGGTGCGCCCCACCGTTTGAAAACCACTTACTTATTTAAAGTATGATAGTTTTTTCATACCAGTAACTTCGTGTGTAGGGCCTTATTCGCAGTGAAAGGCACGTGAAAATAATTGTTTACCTGAATGTGCTGTGGCCGATACAATCGCTGGAACAACAAAAATCGAATCACCCGCCATTTCTGCGTATACTCTACTGTACTTGTATTTGTCGTTGTCGGCCGCTACATCAGAATATGCAGCCATGAGTCGATCCACAACTTTATCACATGCAGTATTCTGAAACAAATAAGAAGTGGATAACAAAATATAATTGGTGATATGAAAACTGTAGGATTGGGAAAAGCTACTCAACGCAAGCTCATTCGCACTCACTCACAAGCAAAGTAGGTGATCACTGTGCGAAGATGCGAGGAACTTTTGAAGTGCCAAGACCGGTGGACACTGCAAAGCACGATGTCCGTAAATTTAGTGTTAGTGCTGATATGGGCAAAGTACGACCCGCGGGCCAAATCCGACCCGTTAGATAATTCAACTGACCCGCCTGATGCTGCCACAACCAAACTAAAACCATATTTTGAAGTTTTAGCTGAAGATCAGCGCAAGGAATTTGTTGAGATTGCGATTTTGTTTTGGCCACCATAATAAATATTGTTCATAAAATGTATTTTCTTTGAACCACGCGTTTCCGGCGTTTCGTACCGAACAAAGATTTATGCAAGATTTTACTGTTTTCCAACGATTTGTAAATAACTGCTATTCATATGAAAGAACCGGTATTTTTTCCCAGTTCAGCTTAGCCCACCTAATTCAATACACAGTGGGTGAGAGAATTTTATATTTGAATAAATTACCAAAAAACATAACTTTTGAAACTTGACTCATTTTTACCGGATGTCTCAATTTAAAAGCTTCCTCAAATACTGCTTTGACTTCTTCTTTGCTACTTCCTTCCATATAGCGCGGGGGCAGTACAAAAGCTAAAATTCCGGCGCATTCAGAGTCACAAACCCCCGTTAAAAAAGGTATTTTGTGGCGCTGTCCAGTACTTGAAATATTTTCTGGTGTATCCGTTATAACGTGCCCATCAACAATTGGTTGGAATGCATATGGGCCCTGGAAATTGAAATACTTCAGTTTAGAAATACAAGGGTGTCCATAAAGTCTCAATTTTGTTATAAAGTCAGTTTTTTTTTGAATTAGGAATTGTTCAAATATTTTTACTTCATTTAATACATCTGTGAGGACCGAAACAATATTATGATATCGATAAATTCTCTTTGCAATTTTAAAATTTTTTAAGACTTTATGGGAACCCTATTCTGGTTCGGCACTGTCTACTTAAGTTATTCCATCTTGAGTGAGATGGTCGGAGTCATTTTTTTTACCTACAATTTCAGCATTGTCAAGTCGTAATATCGCGCCAACTCATAACAGACAAAATAGAAGTTTCTGTTCGATAATTTGACTTATACTTAAGTAGAATGAAATGAAAAGTTTTATTTTCGTGCAATAATTTTAGCAATTTTGACAGGACTTTTTTCAAGTATGGTGGCCGCTTGTAGCCCTAACATCAGTACTTTAGTACTTTTTTAGTTTTAGTTTGCTTTGGGAAAACTTGTGTGAAAAGAATGATAAAAATGTTTGAAACTAAGCATCATTACAACGAAATTAAGATCATATGAAGATATTCCCCTCAAAGCATACCCAACGCGATTAGCATATTGGATCATATGCATATCCCCATCCGCCTCTCAAATGGAGAAGAACCCAAAATCCTGTTTTTGTTTGCTCATACTTACGTAAAATTTCTTCTGTACTTCGATTAAAACATCCACTGGAACCTCTTGAAGTTTTTCCAATATAGCGTCGGGCTCGCTGGCATTAATGTTAAGTGCTTTAAGCAAGACTTCTCTTGTGGCCTCGCCTCCTCCGAAGACAGCTGATTAAGATTAAAATATTTAGTTTTTAGTTGAAATTAATCGAAAAAAACAACTTTAAAAGCAGTCTCATATTCATAAAACAAGTGATGAGATTCAAAATTTGAATTATAGGTTTTCTTTTTTGTATCGAACTCACTAATAACAAGTTATCTCATTTCAGAAAATAGGGCAGGAATGGGTTCGCTGAATGTTACTCATCTCAAGAAAGGGTTCGCGAACCTGTAGGAACCCTTGAATCACACCTCTGCATACAAATAGTGTTGTTATCGCGGAATTTCGGGATTTTCGATTTTTTTTTCCAATGGGAATAGGAATTGAACACTGAACACTCGCACCTTTACGGACGAGGGGTCGTTGTTCTTTATGGGATTAAGGTCGTCTTATCGAATATATATTCTCACTAGAATAAATATGAAAAGTCCTTCATCTTCAATTCATGCACACATAACATCAAAGCAGAGCAAAAAACGCACTTTGTGTAAAGACTCACAAAAACAGATTATGTGTTGGCTCAAATCACGGACTTTTATGTAAAAATGGAAAATTCACGATTTTTCCTGTCTTAATTCTTGTTGGTTGACTCCCAAGCCCACATCTCACCCAGGGTGTGAAAAATTAGGTTATTTATTTCCCAAATTAGAAGGATTCGGTCTATACTAAATTATATTAGAACCCTAGCTAATAGGGCATTCCCGAAGTATATGAACCAAGATGGCGGACACCGGATCGTAGTGTGTGTACCAGGTTAGGGTTAGGCCATAATTTCAGGTACAAATACTACAAGATTCACTTAGCTAGTCCCCTAAGTCGTAATAGAACTAAAATGAGGAAAATTGGAATAAAATTATGGCCTAACCCTAGCCTGGTACACATGCTACGTTCCGGTGTCCGCCATATTGGTTCACATACTTCGGGAGCACCGATGATAAAATAGAGGATTTTAGTCTATTGACACTTTTTGAGAGAGCTCTGCTTGTAAAAGAAAATTCACTATATTTATAAAAGTATTACTTGGAGCAAGAGGGGATCCGCTCATTGATATCGCTTTGTGAATCAGATCACGGGACAGTGGTGACATCATCAACAATTCCGTCATCACTCCTCCGGCACTTTCACCGAATATTGTGACGTTGCTGGGATTGCCACCAAAAGATTCTATATTGTCTCGGACCCATCTGTTGCAGAAGATATATTGAGGATTCATGAAAATACTAGCGTAGCAAAAAATACCAAAATTTCGTAAATTTTACAAAATTGTCCGAGAAAGGGTCATGTAACACCACGTATCAGTATTAGGTATTCTGTTTTTCAGAAAAAAAAAAACGAGAACACAATATGCGCAATTTTTAAATTTTTGATGATGTTACCACACCTTTCGGCGGCAACAATAATCCTTAACCACTGAAAATTTCAAAGTAATTGGTCGAGTAGTTTTTGTACAGCAACAACAACAAGAAAAAGAAGAATACTAATAATAATAACAACAACAACATAATAACAAAACGATTCATAGGCCTACTTCATGTCCACAAGCGTGTTTTTAAAACGTGACTATTTAGCGCCATTACCGAACAATTTGAAAAAGTAAAATTATACAATAAATTAAAGCGTATTCTTACTCCAAAGCAAGAATAATATCTCTAAGAGCGTTGTTTCCTGGTACTTTGCTGTTTTTTCCAAGCGATAAAAATCCTAATGCGTTTGCTCTGTAGTTCGGTGATACGGTGACCACGTTATTCATTCCTGATAACGCAACACCGTCATATATTCCTGCCATACCTCGCATGTAGCCACCTCCTACTATCCATACCATAACCTAAAACAACAATTATATGTTTATATTTTGATATATATCCCGTTTCTGTGAGTTTATATTTCAATCATCTCTATTGCGCGAGTGCGACGTCTTAGTGACGTCATTTTTGAATGGCGTAGTTACATGGGGATCCAAAACGAAATATACAAAAATTAATAGGCTACGACCTCTAAAAGTACTCGTGATACTAAACTTCACCAATCTGCCGTTTATGCTTGTCTGGACCTTGGTCTGAGCAAATACGTAAGACTCTTTTTAGCAAGTGGGATTCACAAAAAGTGGCAATTTATTGATGGCCTGAATATTTACTAAAAAACCCAAACAAAGAACGCAGACTGGCGGACGTCAATAACAAAATAAAAAATTGTTTTACTGTAAACTGTAAAGTAAAAACTGTAAAGCTGACACAACGTTTCTGTTCCGGGGAGTAATTCTTCTTCTTTTTATTTGGGGCAATAAAAAGTCACACATAATACATACCATCCAAGTGTTTGAGATTCGATTCGGAAAAATATTTGATTCAATTCGGAAATCATCAGATTTTCGAAGTCTTGACTCGCGACTTTGGGTTTATAGTTTTCTAACCAGGACTACTATTATATAACAAGTAATGCTTACTTACCGCCAGTTTTGATGATTTTTCCACTGATGGTGTAAAAACATTCAGTCGAAGGCAATCTTCTGATTGTCTTTCAGTTGGCGCACCCAGGGTATCTTTCATTGGAAGATAATCCGCGTACATGTGACCTATCTCGTTGTCTTGTGGTGGATGATGGGTAGGCTTCGTGGCGTCTAATATTCCGTCCCATGGTTCGGATCTGTAACATAACAGCCATGTTAGGTAGGGAATTTGCACTGTCACCCCAAACAAGGCGCTTTATAAGCGGCAGTGGCGTATCTGCGTTTGAAAATGCGCCTCCTTGATCGTTGGTTGACAATGTTTATGAACAGCTTTTGTGGAAATGAGATACTTCTACGTTATTATTGAAATAAAAAAATACAGCTTGTTATTATTTATAACTTGAAATAATTTTATCAAAACATTTTACAACCAAAACTTTTCACCGTTTTGCGTTCCTATCCAAACGACACCATGGCTGCCACGCCCTCGATACGCCACTAATAAACGGTCGCTGATAACCTCTGTTCAATAGTTAGTTTAATTGTATTAGATATTGTTTGTAAATATATATGAAAAAAAATCTAGTATTAGCTAAACAAAATGATATTTTAAATGTAGCAAGTTTAATAATAGTGGCAAACCGGACCTGCTCAAGTATGGGCACCAAGATGGCGCACAACCCGAACTCAGATTGTGTACCAGGTTAGGGTTCAGGTTGTGCGACATCTTGGTGCGCATATTTCAGGAGTACCGGCAAACCTATTCCAAGGTATTTGATTATATTTAAACAATGTACATATGACAATATAGGCTTTTGGATTCAAATGCGAACTTGTGGAACCTCTGACTGCACTGATGGAACCCTGCAATATGGATATAACTAATAATTTCCCCCATCATCGCTGTATGGTAGGTTGTAAGTCACAAACCTAAAGATCCATTATAGATGTAAGACAATCACTAGGTAGAGAGGGTGTCTTCGTTTACTTATGAGCTCAACGGTTAGCGCATGGTGCTAAGCCTAAGCTACAGGTTTGCGTTTGCCATAGCAACTCTGGTTACCCTGCGCGGGCTTACGGGGCAATTAGAACTACGTGATGGATAATTATGTACTAGCTAGAGGATTGCTGTATTTATCGCCTTCGTATGGTGCAGGGGCGTAGCGAGAAATTTTCAAAGAGAGGGTTCTGATTTTTTTTTGCTTAGTTAGATTGAAACAGCTAGCGGGTCGGATCGAACGCTTGAATACGCGTGTTTTTAGTAGTCCTGGGGTCTAAAAAACATTTCAAGCTACGGAAAATTGCTAAAATTGCGACCCGCAAAACCCTGGCTACGCCACTGGTAGGGTGGGTCACTTATATTCAATCCTAATTATCAGTTCGAAGCTTGGCCATTGGCGCTTTCAGATGATAAACAAATGTCAACTGTAAATACCTTGAACAAATAAAATAGTTTTTATGCATAGCAAGAGAGAAATGAAGTGTTTCAAAATATGCAACAAAAGCAATTTATCAAAAAAGTTTGGAAATCACCTACTTTTCCGGAGCTAGAAATCTTCTTTTCCCTGTTGGGGGTTTCCCGAATGGTATATTTAGATAATTGTAAACCGGAACTGCTGAAGGATCGTCTGCCTGGCTCATGAATCCTTTGAGTTTACCGTCCTTTATTTTAAGCGTTGGGCAATCTTGCGACATTTCGAAATTGTATTTAAATAGATAACTGTAAACACTGTAAATATTAGGATAAGCGACACTATGTGCCGCTACTGATCAGAGACTTAACCTTTATTATCAAGCTAAAAGAAATTCAGCGGAATGTACAATCAACAAAAATAATCATGTCGACCAATGAAGTTAATTAAAGGTGTATATAGCTACTAACTAATAAACTATATATATATATAAGCCTCATACTATTGATTATTTTTATATTTTGAATAAAATCTCAAAACGGCCTAGGACTGAATTCATAGCGTTATATAAATGGGCTTCTGTTTGTATTCCTTGCTGAGATGAATTACTATGAGCAGAAAGTAACGTCACCATTACGATGCACCTTTTGCCTCGAACAAGGCCAGATACAAGTAGAAACTGATATCTAACGATACCTTGAAGAATCTCTTCACAGATTTAGTTTGCTGTCGAAGTTATCCAATCTATACAAGCGCGTATTTTCATCTATCTTGCTTGATTCTTTTTAAGGAGGAATTGATAGTACGCGAAAAATTTTGGGCTAACAGTGAATCGCTCAGGAATACAGCAAAATAGTGTTGAAAAGGGAATACTAATTTGTGTCTCATGCAAATGCCGCAAAATCACAGTTCACCACATTTGTAAAAGTTGTTGGGCCCCCGATGACGTCAGCCTTCTTTTTAATTCAGACACATTTCATGGTAAGTCGGAATATTATTTTTATTTCTTTTACTTACTTTTTAAATATACATAGAGTAGCCCTGCGTCTCGATTTAATAGTAACAACGCGGAATTGCTGAAATCATCTGACGCACGACACGCAAGCTTTACGTAGCGGACGACGTCACATTCATTTTTGAATTTAGACGCAAAAGCATGGTAAGTCTCGCCGGAACGTAACTTTGATCACACTGAATTACTTATTGAAATATACAGAATGTAGCACTACGTCTCGATTTATTAGTTAAAACGCGGAATTGCTGAAATCATCTGACGCACGACACGCAAGCTTTACGTAGCGGACGACGTCACATTCATTTTTGAATTTGGACGCAAAAGCATGGTAAGTCTCGCCGGAACGTAACTTTGATCACACTGAATTACTTATTGAAATATACAGAATGTATAACAACGCGGAATTGCTGAAATCATCCGACGCACGACACGCGCACTTCACGTAGCGGACGGCGTCAGTTTCATTTTTGAATTTGGACGCAAAAGCATGGTTAGTCTCGCCGAAACGTAATTTTTATTTAACCCAATTACTTGTTGAAATATACTTACAGTACAACCTAGATAGCTTGTTATAGTTAGAAACTAACGTAGTCTTTTCATATCTCGATTATTATAATCATGAGCTTATTAGCTTACTGTGAGATCTCACGTAGAAAGCCACTGTCACTAATACAAAAAGGTGACACCGTCTACGTTTCAAGTACGTAACGTTAGAGTGGTGTAGCGGCGTAGCGCACGAGATTTCGTGAATTAAACCTTTTTGACAAAATATTAGCTGACATCACTGAATTCCTATTCTTCATAGTAAGGATTTTACAAAACTGTAGCGCCGCACAGGCTAAGGCTAGACTCAACATTCTGCTAGCATTGTTAATGACAATATTCTGCAAACTCGAAGCTGTATCCTAACTACAAATGCAGCAACACTGTGCTTATACATGCTATCCATTGCAACGACAATTTCTTAATTTAGCATACCAATATTTAGATACCTAATCGTTTTTGAATAACTCTCTGCATCGACCTACAGTTCAAACATTTGTACGCCTACTATGGTCGTCGTGTTAGGCAGTGTAGGCTAACAGTAGACTTTTCGCAAACATTTTAGCAGTCTCTGATAAAATCATGCTTTTACCTGTTTAATCATTCACTATGATCAAAGCTCGTCTTGTGCCGTTACTTGCGACATAAGTAAACAAAGCCCGCAAAAATCTAGATAGACAATTCGTGCCAAAGGTAACGAACTAAGTTTGTTCGCCTACATTATACATCAAGTTATATAAAGGCACTGGACACTATTGGCAGGGGGTATATCCACTTGGTTAACACAGACAGTCCCGAACTCGTAATAGAACTAAAATATAGAAAATTGGAATAAAATCACGGTACAACCTAGTACACATACTACCTGAGCGTCGTATTTTGAATAGCCGTCTGGATCGGTCAGATTGGTTTCAGTCACGTGACAGCTGACCAATCAGGAGTTCCCAATATTTTTCGTTAAATTCTTCACTTCGCGTATTTGACAACTCTTTAATACTCCATCACTACTCATAAAAATACTATATTTTTTAAAGTAATTATTAAACCCCCAATAAATAATAAAATTAATGAAATGTTTTTGGAAATAGAGGACTGAAAGCAACCCTAGGTACTGATTTTTTCACTGTAGCAACCCCCAAAACAACAATAATTAGGCAAAAAGTAATTAAAGAGCCATAATGCGCATTGTCAATAAAGGTTCAGATTGTTTATTTGGCGCTCCCAAAGTATGTGTAACAAAATGGCGCACATCCTGAACCCTAACCGGGTACACATACTATATTCAGGTTGTGCGCCATCTTGGTACACATACTCCGGAAGCTCCGTTTATTCTTTGGCGTTTGGCGAGTTCGCTTAAACTGAAGCTATGCGTTTTTCGATTTTTGTAGAAATTCATTTAAAACACGACTAGTATTACTTTCATTTTTATTATAAAATATGACGCGAAACTTACTTTTTACTCCTAACAAAGCTTACTCCTAACAAAACCCTAGCTAAGCTCCAATTCAAATTTGAACAAAAAACTTTTTTTACAAAAACCGTTTTACTGGTTCATCATATATACCTTACTACAGTAATGGATCTCAATCTAAAACAGGTTCCCCAGAAAATTCTGAAAGTCACAGTGGGTCGCTTTTTTACAAAATCCCAAATATTACTGATTATATTTCGTTGGAATTTTCGGAGCTCCCGAAGTATGTGCACCAAGATGGCGCACAACCTGAATCCTAACCTGGTACACATAATATGCTCAGACTGTGCGCCATCTTGGTGCATAGGAGAACCGAATTTTCTTTGTTAATTTTTTAATTGATACTGATGAGCTGCTCAATATGTATGTGGAAAGCATCGTGACTCAAAAACATGGAGGCATCATTGTGCTAAGTGCAGTCATGCCACGAAAGCTCCCGACATGCGTAGCTTTCTTACTTTGTGATAATTTCTGGGAAAATTGAAAATTATGTAAAAACGATAGTTTTGTATTAGTTATGTTGTAATGTTTCGACCTTGAAAGCACTACATGCCTATACTTGAGTCATGGGATATTACAAAATTTATTTTTGAAAAAAATTTTGGTTTGCTTGAAAAAGAGGTTCGAACCACTGCTCTACCCAATTCATAACAAAAGAAGATGTATGTAGTGGGCGATTCATGAGGGACCCATAATCAGATATATTTTCTGTTATTTATGATTTATTACATTTTTCGGAACTCCAGAAGTGTGTGTACCAATATGGAGGTAACTAATTTTGTTCGCCAATTTTACATCAAGTTGTGTAAAGGGACTGAAACCTATGGGCAGGGGTAATATTCACTTTGCTAACACAGACAGTCCCCGAACTCGAAACCCATTTTTCAATACATTGTTTTCAATATTGAAAATGTTTTGGTTTGAAATTTCAGTAAGAATGGTAAAAACATAAGATATGAGTCTGAAATGTGTTTATTGAAATATATTCAAAATAAAACCATTGGATGAGAAATATTTGGATTTGATGAAACTTTTACAGCCCCGACAAGCGCAGGTATTTTGTGCAGCGCAATCTTAAGTAATATACGACGATGTAAATGATCATAATATTATATATTACCGTTAAAGTGCTATTTTGATATCACATTAATGATTCGTTGATCACCTGATTCAATGTTATGTGTTGTGAGTATACAAAAATATAGTTAAAAAAATTGTTGTAAAACGCTAAAGTTGTAGAATGCACGAATTCGTCGTGTTGTGACGACTACTGAGAATGCGAACGCATTTACACTGTTTGCATACCTTAGCATTAATTTTATCAAAAGCAATTTTATTCGTATTGAAGTAATCTTTTTTTTTTTATGAGATATTTTGCATTTACGATCTGATAAAACATTACAAGCAGTCTGACACAAATTTATTGATTTTTTTCAACAGTATTAAGCGGAAGAATGAATCAGAATAAAAAACTATATACTGTAGAGGTATGTTGTTTTTTAGAATTATTTTAGGCGGTGCCTTGCTAGCGAGAAGGAAGAAGCTATTTTTGGTGTTGATACTTTATTCGCAACGTTAATTTCGTTGTTTTAATTCACAAATTCAATCGGAATGAATTTGTTATTGATTGCTTGTTTTTGTTTGATGGTTGCTTATACAGGTATGTTAATAAACATTGTTACTTGTACTGTTTCTTGTAGCATCGAGCCTAGTTTATTTAGTTTCAAAATCTCAAAACCATCTGGATTTATATGGTCTGGTCAATTTATTAAACGCTCGGCTAGAAGAGTGAGTTTGGAATGACAGTATTCCTTCTGGCAGGATAAAGTAATTCTGATCCCAGGCACGACCACACCCAGGGCAAGTTTATTCCTTTCTGTTCTCACGATGTTTACACTTAAATTTATCGATAGATTAGCATTTGTAATAATCAGCGTCTGATAACTCTGGACGAGAAGTATGATATGAGAACTCGTGAAAATTGAATTCCTTTTGGGCAGGTAACGCAGCCAAGTGCTACACTTGCAGCAATTGCAGCGATGAGAAGTTGAGTAGTTCCCAACTGGTGAATTGTTCGGTTTCCCAGACCACATGTGTCAAAGAAACGAAATCAAATGGTGGGCATTTTATTCTTATCCGGCAGATACCTTATTGGTCCTAAATACTTCTTGTAATTTTACAAATATCTTGAGCGATACAAGTAAAAACAAAAAAGCATTGTTCAATTATTTGGACACAATGCATACGGGTGTCTGTTTGATATGTTCATTGCAGAGCAACCGAGTTTGCTGCAGAGAAATAAAAAGTTGTTCATTTTTATTTGAAAAACTTCAAAATAATTTTGGTTGAGACGTTATCCACATCAAGTACTGAATTTTTCGCGGCAACAGCAATCACCCAACACAACAAGAATTTAACAAAATGTTTGATATGTTCATCTAGCGTCTAATAAAAAATATGTTATCAAACTTTACGAATCATAATGCGCACTGTCAATTAATGCTTTGATTACGGTTTTCATCATACATAAGGCACTGCGGACTATAGAACGCAACCGGTACCGGTTTGGGTGCAGGCAATATGGAAGGGACTACCTGATCCATATATTAGGCGCAACAGCTTATAAGGCGTGCGATCATTCTTGAGACAGAAAAGTAAGCCTTGAGATTCCTAAAATACAAGGAAGTAACATCAATCTTCAACCTTGATTTTAGGTGCTGTTAATCGATATTGCACCTCACCGCGTGAAAGTGGATGCAAACAAAAGGGAAGTGGTGAATTCGCGACCGACATTTGTTTTTGCAACGAAGTTGAGTTTGAATTTTTAATGTGATAATCTCAATCATATTGCCATCAACAGTCGGCTGCGGTCTCTGAACAATTAGTGACTTGGTCGGCGTAATTTTAGCAATTTTCTGAAATATGGGTCCTGTCAAAATAATAGTGAATTTGATACAAAATAGAAGTTGTCCTGAAATTTAGTGTTATTGATAATTGATCCACATTAGTCGGGGGATCATATATACTTATGAATCCTGTTATGTGTATATTAGTCAATTGTAGAGCCCAGATGAACACTAACACAAATGTATTTTTCAAATACAAATGTATACAAATGTAATTTTCAGACAAACTGCTCATGGACATATAAACTGATAAATAAATGAAACAGTATAAAACTTTAATAATATCGCCAGCATATCAGGCTCATATCTCTCTTTGTAAACAAACGGAAAGATGATGATATTTTAATTCACTATTTCCAATAGTTTTTTTCAAATTTATTCAGATGGATGTAACGGAATTGATAGCTACTCTTCAGCCGCTGCAACAACCACTTCGATTATTGAACCAAACACTTCAAGCGCCGCAACCATCAAATCAAGTTTCCTGATTGGATTCTTTATCAGCCTCATCGTCGCTACATTTATGGTCGTTTAGACCAGAAATAATGAATGGTCATAATAAACACTTTGTGAGTGGATCTTTGGGAAAAAATATGAAACGTTTGATATTCTCTGTTGTTGATTTATCTCACAATCAAGCTTGGTTATACATGAATTATAGATAAATTGAATGTGAATTACTTGTCTTATACGAATTCTAATACAGGAAAGTTGAATCTTATGTTCGCCATTTTGATCCGGAAGAAACTAATTGCAATGAGTCCGGGTATAGCACCGGATATGTTTTGGATATCCGGATGGATTCAAATTCCTTCCTTGATTCAACTTTGCCTCGGATATTTTCGGCTATCACGTTTCATTATTTTAATTTTCTGTTACATTTTTCTCATTGTGTAAAACAATTTATTTAACAAAAAAAACCCACTATTTATGACGTCATATTCTATGACTAACGTTCTTTATTACATTTTTGTTACATAACTCAGTAACAGGGAAAATAAAACTTGAGTTTGGAAAGTTGTCTATTGCGATTTGTTCGAGTCAACTCGTCTATCCAACACTGCAAATAGCTCAATGTATTCAACTTTCGGCAAAACTGAAAAGAAAAAATAAGGGCTCATCCAGGATTTTCTTGGATTCAAAATCGAAATTTCCATGCAACAGCTTTTGAAACAGTCGTCACTATTTTATTGTGTTCAAGGTAACTCGCGATTGCGTTACAACGAAATAAAAGCATTAATTCTTCGAAATACCACGGCAATCTGTTGACATTGAAAAATAAGATAAAAATTTGAGATGACTAATTTTTAATTTTGATACGTATTGATTGGTACAACGAATTCACTGATTTGTTTGCTGGTAATCAGTATGGGATTTATTGAACGTATGCTTCAACATATTTCCTGCAAAGTAATCTGAAGTATGATACGATATAAACATCATAACATTATATATTTCCGATACAGTGCTAATTTGTTACCACAGTAATTTAATCACCTGATTCAATGTTAAAGCGTTCTGACTGTACTGTCGGTGTTAATTTTATCCAAATCCATTTTATTCGCATTGAAGTAACTCCTTTCATAAGATATTTTGCACTTACGATCTGATAAAACGCTACAAGCAGTCTGACCCAATTTTTTTAACAGTATTAAGCGGAAGAGTGAATCAGAATAAAAAACTATATACGGTAAAAGCATGTTATCTTTTTAAGAATTATTAGGCGGTGATTTGCACTTGGAATGAATTCGTTATTGATTGCTTGATTATGTTTGATGATTTTTGCTACAGGTATGTGGATAAAATTATTACTTTTACAGTTACTTGTAGCATTGAAAAAACTCTTTTGGTTTTAAAATCAATCCCAAAATTACCTGTGTCGTGTAGTACTCCCCTGTGCAAAAAGTCTGATATGGGAACACGTGAAACTAAAATTCTTTTTAACAAGGTTACCCGACAGAATGGTGGTGCAGTGCCGAGATGACTTCCTTACGTGTGGCAAAGAAACTGAAAATAGTGGGTATTTTATTCATATTGCGCATTGATCCTAAATATTTGATGTAACTTCACAAATATATCAGCAGTCTTGAGCAATACAAATAAGAAAGCTATGCTCAGATTTATGGACACGCATCGCCACCTAGTGGCAAATTCGGATGACGTCATAGCAAACAAACGCGAATACCATGCAGCTCACCTGAATATTTAAAATAAATAAAAGAAATAGCCTTCTAGCAAAAAAATTTAATCTTCAAACACTGAAAATGTTAAAGCGATTGGTCCAGTAAGCAAAGAGAAAAGCGTTTGTTTTCTGTGACAAAGAAGAACAACAACATAATACTAAAACGATCTATAGGTCCACTTACGTGTCCAATAGGAACAAGAAAGCAATGTTCAGTTATATAAACACATTACAAATCAAAACCCCAAAAAAAGTGGCTGATATGCCGGCGAAGATGTCAAATACATAACACATTTTTATAAGTTACAAATAGTTTCAACACTAATAACAAAATATCCACCACCCCCTAAATGTGCCCTCCAACCTCACCCCCTCGTTTTAAAATAAAATGCTGTGGAGCATACAGAGTCACCGGATTTTGGAGTTAACTAATTTTGTTCGCCTACGTTACATCAAGTTGTGTAAAGAAACTGAACTCTATGGGCAGGGGGTATGTTCATGGCACAGACAATCCCCGAACTCGTAATACAACTAAAATATAGAAAATCGGAATAAAATTATGGCCTAACCCTGGTACACACACTACGAGAGTACCACTTCCTACTTTCATTCCATACAAGGCTCTGTACAAGCTGACAATGATATTTAAGAAACGCCTATTTTATATTAGTAGTTTTCATTTGTGAAATATCATATTGTAACGTGCGAAAATAAGAAATAAAGCAAGAATATTAAATAGGAAATGAACGATGCTAATAATAACAATGATAATGCATTTGCGGAATTGATTGGGAACGTAACTTTTTGCCGCGTAGGTGTCAGATTGTGTATTTTTACTTTCAGAATTTCGATAAGAATGAGAGAAAATAAATTAGATGCATCTATCTTTACTTAGAGAATATATCAATAAAACATCCGAATTTTGGCAACACCATAGAACAAAACACTTTTGTACAAAGACCCCGCCACTAATGTAAAAATGTGATATTGAAAAAAAAAACTGCCACGCTTTTTAATAACAAATTAGTTGGGGTTCAAGTTTGAGTTAGGAATGATTGAAAATTAGAATTTCCAGCGCATTTCGCATTCCTAACCCATGCACTCCAACCATAATAATTATTATTATTTTTTCAATTGGAGCGTTTGCCGGGGGCTTTGTACGAAAGATATCAAAAACACACAGCTATTTTGTAGTTTGAATATTACAGTTATTTGGGTTATATGTAAGAAAAGAATAAATGGGGTTTTAAATTACATTTTCTCAAGAAGTAAAAGAAAAGTACTTTTATAATCTTGGTGGTTGTTACATTTCGCTTTCATATTAGCATTCATTCTTAAACACATAAAAATAGGAAAATTTGAAACAAAATTAAGTTATCGTTGGTTTCAAAACACACAAAAATGACTTCAATCAATGCTCCAACTCACTCTTCTAACCCGGAATTTCACCAAATTGACCACACCATAAAAATCTAGATGGTTTAGAGATTAAACCAAGTAAACTATGTCCGATGCTACAAGGAACAGTAAATATAATAATATATCCACATACCTGTAGCAGCAAACATAAACAAGCAGCCAATAACGAATTCATTCTGAGTGATTTTGTGAATTAAAACAACAAAGTTTTCGTTACAAATAAAGTATCAACACCAAAAATAGCTGCGTTTCTCTTCTCGCTAGCAAGGCACCGCCTAAAATAATTCTAAAAACTAGAACATACTTCTACAGTATATAGTTTTTTATTCTGATTCATTCTTCCGCTTAATACTGTTGAAAAAAATCAATAAATTTGGGTCAGACTGCTTGTAATGTTTTATCAGATCGTAAGTGCAAAATATTTTATGAAAGGAGGATTACTTGAATGCGAATAAAATCGATTAGAATAAAATTATTACCGAGATATATAGAACGGTGCGAATGCGATCGCTTTGTAAGTAGTGGTTATAACGAGGCAAATTTGTACATTTCATAATTTTAGCGTGCGAAAGATATCTTTGTTTGATCAGAACGCTTCAACATTGAATCAGGTGATTAACGAATCATTACTGTGGTAACAAATTAGCACTGTAACGGAAAAATATAATATGATGTTATTTACATCGTACCTTACTTCAGATTACTCTGCAGGAAATACGTTAAAGCATCGGTTCATCAAATCCCAAACTGATTACTAGCAAACAAATCAGTGAATTTGTCGTACCAATCAATGGGTATCAAAATTAAATATTATTCATTTCAAAAATTTTTATCTTAATTTTTAATGTTCACAGATTGCCGTGGTAGTTTGAATCAGTAATGCTTTTATTTTGCTGACGCAATCGCAGGTTACGTTGAACACAATTAAATCGCGACGACTGTTTTAAAAGCTGTTGCATGGGAATTTCAATTTTGAACCCAAGAAAATCCTGGCTGTGCCCCTGTTTTTGCCTCTCAGTTTTTTCAAAAGTTTAATACATTGAGATATTTGCAGTGTTGGAGAGACAAGTTGATTTGAAAAAATCTCAATAAACAAATTTCCCCACTCATGTTTTATTTTTCCTGTTACTGAGTTCACTGGGCCATTTTATTTCCTTCTAAATCCTTCTAAAAAACTTTAACGTAGAGGTAGATTTGTATATGGAAAACAATTTATTCAAAAATGTAATAAAATATGTCAGTCTTAGAATATGACGTCATAAATAGGGCATTTTTGTTCAATAAATTGTCTCACACAATGAGAAAAATGAAACAAAAACTTAAAATAATGAAACCGGATACCCGAAAATATCCGGATCGCAGTTGAATCGCTCGTTTCACAAGAAAAGAATTTTGAAATAAGCCGGATATTCAAAACATATCCTGTGCTATATCCGGACTCATTGCAATTCTTTTCTCCTAAAACAAAATGGCGAACATGAGATTCAACTGCGCCTGTATTGGATTTTGTTTAAGACAAGTAACCCACTTTCAGTTTATCTGTCATTCATATATAACCAAGCTCAATCATGCAATATGTCAGCAAAAGTGAGTACAAACTTTGTTGCTATAGCTCCACCAGATGGCGCCAGTCGTATAGTGCTTATAATGATTCCGCGTTACAACGAGTTTCGATTTTTTAAACAATTACTTTATAACAAGACACACCCAATAAACCAATTAGTGAATTTTTAAACATTTGCGAATGATAGAAAGAAATAACTAGGTGCGTGGAACACGGAAACTACTTCATGCACATGACCTCGTCATGATGTAATGGATTGGGTAGAGCAGGAATGCTCAAAGTTTTTTTTGCAAGGGCAGCATTGAGAAATTTGCTATGAAATTGTCGAATTGAATGGTGGCTGACATTGTTGATATAATCTATAATATAAATTATATGCAATACTTTCAATCGCCTTAGTTTTGTTATGTCTGGTCTAAACAATAATAAATTTAGCAACGAGAAGGCTGATAACGGATACAAGTATGATGCTTGATTTGATGCTTCCGGCACTTGAATGGGTTGCTGCTGCAGTGGTTGTAGGTGTGATGTCAGCTCCGTTACATCCATCTGAATGAATTTAAAAAAGTTTCAACTTTAAATTGACATTTCATCTTTCTATTTATTTGGATATGGATATCGCAGGTTGAATGTGATGCATGACGTAATAAATTGAGTATTCGATACAGAGTCGGAAAGATTTCTTTCCTTCAAACAATTTTAATTCGTATGTGACTTACTGTTTGTCTAGAACACGTTTAGGAGTGAAGTCGTGATATCTCATAGAAACAATTTTATAGTAAGAGTGACAGCGATGAAATTTAGTGTTTCTCAAACTGTGTGACGCGGCAAACTAGTGTGCCGTGAGAGATTCACAGGTGTGCCGCGGAACTTTTTGGAATCTTAAAAAATAAGCTATTCGTTTGCGAAATGACCTGTTTTTCAATCATTGTTTCCCAGAAAGTTTGTACAAGTTTTGGCTTTACGCTTACAAATCCTATTCAATCATCGATGCAAAAGCCGTCAAATTAATCTTTGCATTGCCATTTGTACAGATTTTTTACTCTGATTAAAATTAAAAGCAAAAAGGAAGCGACTTTTTGGAATTGACGATGAAATGCGGGCGTGATTGGCAACAACGGAACCTCGTTTCAATCTTATTTGTTCCTGAAAACAGGCGCTCCCATCGCATTAACATTTGCAGAATAAATTTGTTTAAAGCTAACTTCATTTTTTTACAATTGTGCCGCAATTTTCGTTTATTTGTCTAGTGCGCCACAAGCAAAAAAAGTTTGGTAACCACTGGCTTAAGGCCACGTTTCCCAGCGAGGAAGTAATTTGAATGAGAAGGAAATATTACTTTGTATTTGCGTGTGGCATTACTAGTATTTCATACTTATTTAGTCGATTAAAAAATGAAAAGTTGATTTTACTGAAAACGAAAAACTGTTTAGCTAACATGATCTGTCAAAAAAGATATTCTTTCCGGTTTGAATGATTTTGGATAGGAAATATTACTTCATAATTGTGTGTGCAATTACTAATATTTTATACATATTTAGTCTTACTGTATTGTATTCAATCTATATTTATGTAGACATTATAAACTATAGAAAATGTTCGGTGCTCCCGTAGTATGTGCACCAAGATGGCGCACAACCTGGACGTGGTATTGTATCAGGTTAGGGTTATAAGGTTGTGCGCCATCTTTATACACAAACCACGGGAGCGTTAAATAAATGTTCAGGGGTCAGCGTACAAATCGCATGTATCACAGTTTTGTTATGGATTGAATGACAAAGAAAAATAGAGTTTTAAGCATAGTAAGGGAGGAATTCAGCGCTTAAAAATAGACCAAGGAAGGGGTTTGTCAAAAAAGATTGAGAACCACTGGTTGAAGGGTTGGAATTTTACATGAAGACTATGCCCACTACATTGCATAGGATGTAATAAACTCTATAGGCAATTACGAACCCATAAAGTTCCATTGATTCCGAGATATAGCAGCTTCCAACATGACAGTAGCATCTTGTAAAGAGACTTGTTTTGAGTGAAAGTCGTAGAAAAGATACAAACATAATACTAGAACTTACCCCCTTTGCAAAGGCAAACTGTCCCGGTGCTTTTACCATCAGTCATTGTTTTGCAGCCAGTAATAGCAGACGAGTTTCCGCCACATGTTCGCGTCACAATCCCTGTAAATAATATTACAAATTGAAACAAGTTTTCATCAAATCAAAAGTTTTTGTGAAATTAAATCAACAATTCGTATGAACGATTTGTATAAACAAGAGCCAAAGCTTCCAATGTCTATTCACCGGTTCTCAAGTGGGCCACAAACCTATTAGAATTGGTATGGGTATTGGAACAATTTTTTTTCTCATTTGTGTCGCGATAGTTAACTTTTTATTTTAGTAGCAATGAACGATGATGCGTTTTATATCATAATTATTAACGTAAAAGTGTTTATTTTTTGCCAAAAGAGATTTTTGTTTTCTTGTAGTTTTTCTATTGCGTGACTAATTCAACGGGCAACAGGATTTTCAGGTCAAGAAAGAAAAAAGATTGAGAACCACTGGGGTATGCAGTGAGTATTGGAAATTCCAAAATCGTTATTTTATCACAAGTATGCCGTTTAGTTTGAAAATGAAACTAGGCTCGGCCTTTTATTATTGGACACATTCAATTAGACATATGGATCGTTTTGTTGTTGTTGTTTTGTGAAAAAAGACATTCGTACTTGTTTATTGTTATCATAATTTTAATTTGTTCAGAGATAGTTGAGGGGTAATCCCTCATCCATTTGACATAGATGTCCTGAAATACCTGTTTGAGAAACCGTCGGTTAATTGAAATATTGCTTGGGACTTTCATAAGCAATGTGTGAAGCACTTACCCTTCGAAGAACTCCACTCACAAGAAACTTGAGAAATTGAGCAATTGATAAGTTGAGAAGAAACTAGCTTTCCAGCATCGATGCAGTCAAAACAATAGTAGCATTGAATCGCGTAACCTTAATTACAAGAAATAAAATGAATAAAAAGACAGTATGCCCAGATATATGGACACGAACCCCAAATCCGAATTCAAACATTGTGCAGTACCGGTAATCTTCTTTTCTGACCTGTGATTACGGAACCGCCACATGGTTGATTACGTTACGTAATTTTGATTACGTCATCATACAATACTTCAAGGTAAAAAGCGAATTCCATACAAATCACAATTTTTTTTTTTTAATATTGAAATTACTAGCGACAACAACAATTTTTACCCCGTAAAAATTTCAAAGCAATTGGTCCAGTATATAAAGAGAGAAGCAAAGTAGAAGAAAGCTAACATCATCAACAATTTAACAAAATTATTCATAGGTCCATTCCGTGAACGAACGATTTAGAAATCGCAAAACACTTGGTTTGCTTCAATATAATAACTTATTTACAGCCTTGTTTGGAGCCAAACAAAAACCATAATAAAAAATAGCAGAAATACGAACCTGTCGCGACGAACATGTAGCACAAGCATGCAATCAAGAAAATCTTCATTTTGAGTGATTTCAAAGTTTACAACAGCTTAACAATGAGTAAGTAAATACACTAAAATTAAAGTATAATATTTAAACCAAAGCTACAAAATCATTTGTAAAAGCTATTGAATCATAAATTATTTCATATTGGAAATCGAATGGTAAACGCGTTGCAGAGTTGTTAGCGATGACACATACGATATGCCATGCAGGTTTGCGGACTCAAATTTCAACGACTCCGCTCAAAGCCTGAATCTGAATCATTCACTATTTTTGTCGTCACTTCATCTATACGTTGGCAGTTGATAGAGTCGAAATACTTATATAAACGAGGCAGTCAAAATAAATTTTACTCAATAAAACTAAAATAAAATTCAAACGCTTCAGAGTTGTGAGTTCTCGCCCTTTAATGCATTTTTCAAGACTGCAGCGCTCGAGACTGATTATTTATGAAATTTTGTTGACTCGTACTCGACGCGAACGCTTCAGGGTCGCAGTCTACTGTTGAGGTTTTCGAGTCTTTAGCTCTTCTTTTCGGCAGCGACCACGACGACACGGTGGTATGAGTGTGATATCGACAGGCGAAACTGGCCTTTCTATAGGCCCTCAATTATTTTTGCTTCCGCTCTTTCGGTCCAGAAGAGTATCCAAGAAAAAAATCCGCACATGACGCTGTAATAATATGAGAGAGCATTACGATATTGCAGTGTTGGTGCGAAACAGAGAAAAAATACTCGTTGCCTGGACTGATATGTTCTTATTTGCTTATATGAAATTCTTTCAAAGACAAAAAGAATGCTGGGCCAATAAACCTGAGATATATCTTGTAAACAAAGGCAGTGGTTCACGCAATCTTCTGAAAATTTCCCAGAATTTTTTAAATTCACGACGCATTAAGGTTCTATATTACAATTACAAACCATCGCGCCCGGGAAGGAAAATTTAATTGATAAGCATCAATTTATGGTGAAGAAATGGGGAATATATCCACATTTGATCAATGCGATACGTGAGCTTGTGTTTATGGACTTACACAATTATACCGCTGCTGTTTAATAGCTCTGGCTGACTTTTGTACAGTTTTACCTGTCTACACGCTGTAAAACGTCACTATAAATTTGCATTTATAAATTGCGCATCTAGCTAACTGAACAAAAATTTCACTATGCTAATGTTGCAAAGCAAAGTTTGATTGCGCATTGCAAAACCCGATTGTTACATTTATGCTGACACGTACTTTGTTGATTGATATTTTTTGAAATGCATTTTGGCGATACCAGTGTCATCAGAAGCAGTAAAGCGCTTATTTAATGCGGCCGGATTGTAGTTAAATGCAAAAACAGATGTTACCTGCTTTTGTTATGAACTCTTTGAACATCAAATTTGCATGTAACATGTAAATTAAGGAAATGATTCAGGAATTATCCGGATTAACTGCATTATTAGAAACAGTCGATGAACAGAAAATTGATAATTTGATGAATGAGCAGAGTGACTCAGAACTAGACAATACTTCTGAAATTTAAAGAAGTCAATAAAATTTTGCATGTCTTCTTCTACACGCAGTCTTATTTAGTAGACACTAAACCTAAATTTTTCTAAATTCAGTAATTTTTATTGAATTTTATTCCTATGGGAATCCCATAGGATGGGACAGGTACGGTGGCCCATCGTTGTCACGCGTAAAATTGAAAAAATAAATAAAAAACTTAAAATAAAATTAAAATAAGAAAATAGTTAAAATAGAAAAAACATAAAAAAAAATTAAATGCAAAAAAAAATTAAAAATGAAAACGAAAATAAAATAAAAACGGGATAAAAAAAGCAAAAAAAAATTGAAAAAAAAAAAAAACGTGAATAAAAAGAAAATAAAAGGGTTGCTACGATGGGCCGCCTCGTGGCCCATCGTTGTCACGCGATTTTATTTTGAGAAAATTTGCTTTTGCTTGGGACCAACGTTGTCATGCATATTCCTACGCGCACAAACGGTGTTCCCTGGGTTTCTGACTCACTACTGATTTTCTTGAGCAATATTCAATAAATTCAAAACGAAAATGTTCTATAAATTCTTCATGCTACAAGTTAGAACTAGAAGTAATATATTTATAATAATGATAAGAGAATATAGAATTGAGTACGAAAGTTCGGGAAATTTGTTTTTACGTGTAGAAGGTAATTGAATTGGAGAATGCTGCTCAACTAGCACCGACTTGAATTAAAGAAAAGGACTGTGTGCATAAAGTAGCCTAGTTAGACTCGTCCGTCGGCTCTGGCCACTACTGTCTGATCGTACAACTACGAGGCTGTAAGGCGATTATGGTTAGACCTGATTTAAATGGAATGTGCATGTCGGCATGTGCATACGGTATGGCATACCGTACGGCATACCGTACACTGGGCTGGTAACGTACCGATCCAGACGAATGATAAATCGCGCGGACTCAACCATTTATTTCAATCCATCCCTCGATTCACCATATTCTGCTAGACTATCCGTATCTCCCACTCGTTTCATGAGCGACTGTATGCTGGGTACCGGGTACGATCAGACGGTATCGGTTTCGCACGAGTGTCCGGACAACTGAGCATTTAAGCAGCATTCTCCAATTCAACTAACTTCTACACGTAAAAACAAATTTCTCGAATTTTCGTATTCAATTCCCTATTCTCTTGTCATTATTTTATATATATTAATTACTTCTAGTTTAACTTGTATCATGGAGAGTTTATAGAACATTTGCAAATTAAATTTATTGATTATTGCCCAAGAAAATCAGTATGAGTTAGAAACCCAGGGAAAACCGTTCGTGCGCGTAGGATTATGCATTTTTTCAATTTTTTTTTTTATCATTTTTTTTATTATTTTTATTTCAAATTTTTTTATTTCAATTTTTTTTTGTTTTTTCACAACTATTTTTTTATTTTACTTTTATTTCAAGTTTTTTATTTCATTTTTCAATTTTATGCTTGACAATTATGGGCCACCATAGACAGGCATAAATTACTAAAAGATGGGATGAGACAGATAGTTATGTCCTATGGACAAGCACTCCGCAGTGGGTTCCCAGGTGTGCACTGAAGCATTCTGAATTGATAAAAAGGCAATTGTATTGAGTTTGATTCAATATAGCATTTAATATTTAGAATGTAAATTATTCTGTTTTTCCATATCGGCATTTTATAAACTGACACTATTTTGTCAAATATTCTCGACGTCTTTTAACTGGCATTTCTCGCTCGACATTGTTCTACGAATTTATAATTCTTTGCATAAATTGAGAAATCATAAAAGCAGAAATCTTCAAATATTGCTCACACAAACGGAATCATACCACCGTCGTTATCTCTCCCCTGACAAGGCAAATGAGTCAATTGTCACAGTTTGAGAATTTTCTTGCTCCCTTAAAACAAATATTTTCATTCAGGAAGTTCGCTTCAAGCGAAGTCGCTAGACTTCAACTAAGCTAGCGTTTCCCAACCGAAAAGAAACTATTTGTAACTTATCAAAAGAGTTATGTATTTGTAGGACCGTTTTCACTGGTAAACGCCATTTTCTGGATATTCAAATACAATTATATTCAAGTTAGGAATTCAACCGTAGTTTCGCACCTCAAAACTTAGGGGGGGTGTTTACCGCCTACAGCGTAGAGTGCGGATAAGTGATAGAAGAAAACTTGAAAGTCTCATTAAATGCTAAACCACCCAAAACTACCGCAATACCCTTCATGTTTATGTGAGGACAGTTATTGTAATAAAAAATTTTATTTGGTCAAAATCACAATGAGAATGCAATAAATAAATAAGCAAAATTGCACAAACATAATTTAAAGAAAATTTTACTAAAGTGCATTGTTGTGCGGGGAGTTTGAGGAAATTGAAAAAACACAATCATATGGCCACCAAGACCTCTAATAAGATTCATATATTTATTCATGTCGCTTATTAACCTTGCATGGCAAATTAACCTAGGCTTGCGGGTAGGGATATACGTTTCAGAATTTCAAATCGATTCGAAGAAATTTAAGAAAAAATGCTTGATTCTATTTAGAAAGAAAAATAGATACCACAAGGCAACTGCACGACACAGCAGCGCTACCGTTATATCGACCGAAAGCGTTTATTATCCTTGCGTTTACAGCTTTCCAAAGCCGTGACACTCCCAGAGTCGTTATATTTCATATTGGTAGCAGCTTTCGAGGGACCAATGGTTTCGCTCAATTTTGTTCGACTACTTAAAATGTTACAAAGTTTCACAAATATTTGGAACGTTTCTTCAAATTATTTACATAATAATATTATAATAAAACATCATTGCTTCATACCGTATGTCTGCGATGCTTGCCTCGTTATCATTGGTTCTTTTAAAATCATGGCGCATACGGTACTAACTATAGCGATTATAATTTGGATGAATTTTGAAGGTCAATTTTAGAAGAAACAATCGCTATAAATCCGATATTATTTGCAAACATAATTGTATGTGAGTAAATATGTAACTGAGTATAGCTTTATGTAATAAAAAATAAATCTTAGCCGTAATATATTTGGTAGTTGATACATCCATGCAGTGTGTTTTTCTGGTAACTTTCTTAATTCTTCAAGCTCATGGGGCTTAGACCGTAACAGATAGCGGGAAAACGTGGATTTTCAAGAGATTTAAGGATCCAAAATGCGTTTCAAGGAAAATGAGAATAAAAGGATACCCCTGCCCCTAGCACACAAAAAAAATGAAAATAAAATAAAGATAAATTAAGCCCGAGTATTATTTCTCGCAAAAAATTGAAATAATTGTCTTATTTTCGGAGACAGAGTACATGGACGAGGTGGCGGGCATCGAATTTGTACACGAGGTGTGTACCTGCTATATATGCCAGAGGTGAGTAAGGTTTTTGAAAAAGGGGCCAAAAATTTTGCCCACTTGGATTTACGGGCCGTGTAAGTGTGACGTAAAGAGTTTTTATGAACAATATTTACAGTGTTACGAAAGAAAAAGTAGGAAACAATAAATTCGAGATAAAACTCAATTTAATCGCA